TCTTATTATTGTTGTTTTATTTGTGGAAAATATTTTTGGCAGAAAATCACAGGTTCTCTGCAACAGGAAATGGTCTGGTAAATTACAAAGCTGTTACACTGATTTCAGTAAAGGAGAAAATAAAGCAGTGATCAACCTGAGGTTGCAGAAATGTAAATCAGCTTGTGTTAGTAGGTCATATAATTCTTTGGCAAATGAGAAAAGAAAAATATATTTTTTGTCCAAGTTGAAGTCCATGTATATAATTTGTCCTTTTTTCTTTCTGTGGGTCTCTTCCCTCTTGCCTCGGTGCTGGTAATTCATGCCTTTCCAGTGCATTACTGGCTTTTCCCTGTAGCTTTGAGCTGCGCCTGGCATGTGGGAACCCAAAGAAAGGGCAGCACCTGCTGCAACTGATGCTCCCTCGGCAGCGCAAAGCGATGCCCCAGAGGAGGAGGGTGCTTTCTCCAGACAACAACCCTAAATGCCAAAACTCCCTCCCCACCCCCATGCACGGCCCTGAGCATCTCTCAAGAGGCCCCAGTGTGCAGATGCCATGTCCCCTCCAGCCTTAGGACATTGCACGAGACTTCTTGCTTGTGGGGTTTAGGGAAAGGGAGCAGCCCGAGTCACTCAGCACTAACCTATGTCTTAAGCCTTTCCTCAAGGCTGGATGTAGACTGCTTCTAGTTCTGCCTGGGTTGTTAAAAAATCATCAGCCTGCTGCTCACAGTGGCTCCTGGGTTTGCCCAGAGAGCAGGTGGGTCTTTCCTGGTACCTCCCATTGGGCAGACACGATGTCTCACAAAGAGCAGGCTCTGGGTTTCATTGCCCTACTGTCATTATGAAGTTCAAAACATCTAAGAGCAAAGGAATTCCAGCACTTACCTCAATGGGTTTAGAAATAATACATCCTGCCCAGCAGAGTCTGCCATTGCCATTGACACAATTAACTAATTATGGATGTAGGAATCCGCAGCATGCAGGCCACCCCTGCTGGCATGAGCCCTCACCTGGAGACATGATGGGGTCCCTGGGTGCTGCACCAGCTCACTGTGACATGGAAGGGCTTTGCGAGGGCAGCACTGGGTACAGGCTGAAGTGCAGGAGTGCGGGTTTGCGTGTATGACGTTAGCCCGCAGTTAAGCAGCATCACTCAGTGAGTGGCGGCATCGAGTTGTAGATGAGGCAGTCTGGACCAAGACTGGTTAGGTATGAAGGAAATCAATTGATTACAGAAGTTGGGAGATGGAAGGAAGCACAGTTTTTAAAATGTGACACATAGCTTCAAGCTTACCAAGGAGAAGACAGCATCTAGCATGAATTGACGAGCTGCGTCGTCAGAGCCCAGCCACACTGCAGTCAGGTGGGGGATCCCTTCGCAGGACGGTGCCTGCCCCATGGCCAAGGTGGGCATAGGTGGACCCCACGGCCCAGAGCACCCATCTCATCGTAGACTGGCTTAAGCAAAACAGAAGAGGACAGAGAAAATGAATTATGACAAAGATGGCACCCCATGCCTGCTGCTGGTTTTTCTAATGTAGGAGCCAAGTGTCAGAGCAGGAGAGAGTTTAAGCTGAAAGGAAGAACAACTACAACTTCACTGCGGTAAGGGAGAGTAAAAAGCTATCAAAGACAATCTAATGAGATCTAGGCAGGCTTCTAATGAACACTTGTGAAGCATGCAAGAGCGCAGTCAGTATTTGTACCACCGATGCAAGGAAGTACAAAAGAGAAGTCCCAGATACTTAGGAGTCTGGGAGAAAGAAAAAATCCCCTGTAGCTGGCACTGCATTCAGAATGACCTAAATAAAACTTCACACTCCACCTTGGAGAGAAGATGGAAAAGCAGGGGAAATGGGTACCAGTTTATTCCAGATGCAACTACACTGCTCGTAGGTAAGTTTAATAAAATGGGTGGAATTCAAATGAAGATCTAGGAGAAAGCCAAATGCCAAAATCCTACAGCAGCCAGTGGACAGTGGAAAAGGAATACAGTTTAGCATTTCAAGAGGTGAATTAAGAAAACAGTCCACATCTGTTAAACTTATTAAGTGTTGAAGTAATTAATTACACGAGTGGAAACAGGCAGGCAGAATTAAAAAAAAAATGTTGATGCAAATGCAAAATTATTGAAAAGATAAATAAGAACATTTAGCTTTGACCAAGATAAGCCTGATACATTACAGAAGGAATGATGCTTCAGTGTACTACTCTGATGCTGGGTTGCAATGGCACAAAAGCAGTTCCCACTGGATCTCAAGGAATTATACAGTACCTTCAAGAGTCCATAAAGTTTAGTGAAATGAAATTGTGTGCAGAGGGTGTACAGCTTTATGATTAGGAAGCACTGAAAACATGCACATGTAACATCTAATTCAGTGAGGTGTGGCAATTCCCAACACAGTATTCGTCCTTCCTTGTAATAATTAACCTGAGTAATTCAGCGCCAGCGTATCGTTGAAGGAAAGGACCCAGCCATATTTTTCCTATAAACAACAATAGCCAGCTATCATGCTAACTTTTAAAAAATGAACACAAAGTTCTCTGTCCAAAATAATGTATTGGAATCAATTTGCAACAGTCACCTACAAAACACAGCATGGACTCTGGCCTGCCATTGGAATAATCTCCCCAGGGAAGTGGTTGACTCTGCCACATTGGACACTTCTAGATTCAGCTGGACAGGGTGCTGGGCCATCTTGTCTATATTGTGCTCTTGCCTTGAAAAGTTGGACCAGATGATCCTTGAGGTCCCTTCCGACCCAGGATTCTATGATTCTACCTTCAAACTGCTTTGTGGAGTTTCAACCTCTTCATCACTACAAGCCTGGTCCTGAGAAACACTACATACAAAATCATCTTGTTTTCAGGCAATCCCTGGCCTTTTTTTTTTTTTTGAAGTTGGTGATGCTGGCCACTGCAGGAACCATGAACCTACATGGGATGGACGTACTGAGACGGGATGGACACACTATGATCTGACACACTGAGAGCAATCACATGTCAAATTCAGAATTAAGGAAAACTGGTAAACTTAAACCTGCAGTTGTAAAGCTCTACTTCAAAACACCAGGTTAATAAACCGTCCTATTATTTAACGTCTAATTGTTAGACTTGTTTGCTTAACAGCTATAATATCCTGCTTGTTAAGAGAGCAGGCAACAGCGAGGTAATAGGCTCAGGTGAGAAGTGTTAATTGTAGGCCTTAATAATCTATTTGGCACAGAAAGCTGTGTGTAAAGAAGAAAGGCAGAGGGCCTGTTATCTCCACTCTAGGCACCAAATCACCCTACAGCAGGGAAATTTGTAGACTTGGTGAAAGGCTTGTAGAGGTACTGAGTTTTTCTGCTATAGTCCCAAGAAACTCCACAAAAAAAGGAAAATTGAGCATTTGTTTCTTCCCAGGTTTAAAGAAATCTGTGTCACAAATAACATTCCCAATTTTCATACTGGGTACTGTTAATAAAGGCAAAAATATGTCAGAAATGTAAATACCATGTTAAAAAAAAAAATCTTCAGGAATAGAGCTTTGCTGAGACAACAGCTTAAAGTGGTGTAACTCTTTCGCCATGCCTGAGCTCTTGTTGCCGTTCAAGACCTACAGTGGACTTTTGAACTGGGTGGTAAGTCTTAAACTACACAGTGTTAGCAGAGGATTTGTAGTGACATCCATGAAATTTCTACAATTGCCAAATCATTTAGCAACTTAATACAGCACTTTGTAAATCACTTTGAAGGATCTCTTACTTTATAAAAAGTTACGAAACGTGCAGTTCAGAGAGGCCACCTGGACAACAGTCACGAGATTGGACCCTGTACAGCAGCAATGTTTCTAGAGGATGCAGGAAGGACACCCCTTATGATTCCAGAACACGCAAGGCAGAACAGGCACGTTCTTTTGTTACAGGGACAGCACTCATTTCTAATAAGACAGAAAAAATGAGTGTGTCACAGAGTCCCAGTAAATAATTCATCATATTACAACTTACATTTATCTTCTTTAGGAATCTTCCCAAGCATATCCTGTGCTTACAGCCTGAAAGAAGTTAACAAGCTGAAGGACAAAACAAGCCTATTGCAGCAGTTACTGATACAGACTGACCTCTTAATCACTGTGCTTTAGCAGACCAACTTCTAGGCAGCTACTCTTGAGTCTCAAAAATTTTCTGAAATCTGACTAGCTTGCAACTTGTTATCAAGCTGGAGGCCAGCTTTCTAATTAGTGTTGCTCAATCCTCAATTCCTTATGAAAAGATTATCAGAACAGTTTAGAATGTGTCTGATAGAGAATACAGGTAACAGCCCACTAGCTCCGGTCCTAGACTGAACCGGTGGTGGTGACGCACTTTTGAATAAAGGAAAATACATCCAAGTTCCTCAAATAATTGAATCATTGTAGACCAGACTAGACTAGAGTAGTTCAGGTGGAAGGGACCTACAATGATCATCTAGTCCAGCTGAGATGTACAGTTGGGACTAGATGATCTAGTACCAGTTCACTGTACTAGATTGTACAGCGATTGTACAGTACTCTAGATCTAAGGAGTGGCATGCAGACAGAATAAACAGAAAGTGTTTAAGCAAATTAATTTCCCTCAAAATGAACTGTCAGTATCTTTCTACTGTAGTCATATGCTGTGCATTGGAAACAGTTAATAAAATCAATACAGGGGAGCAGATTTTTAGTCTTGTAATTCCATTTCTTAAAGAGTAAGATATAGAAAAATAATGAGCCAGGTTCTGCTACTTCCACTAGCAATTTGCTCTGCAAAGCATATTTGTCTTCAGTGTATTATTAAGGGTATATGCATTACCCAGCTATAGATTGCAAGAGGATCAATGCTGAGCAGATAGCACTCACTGAGTAGTTAAGAGCTTTCCCTTTTACTAACCAGCAAGAATACCACTATTCAAGATGGTTCTGTCCATTTGAGCAGCATCATCCAAAAAAACCCCCCCAAAACCCCACCTGTTCACTGTAACAATATTCTTCAAGAATTTTTGTTTCTAGAACTAAATGAAAGGAAACACCTTTTATTGCAGAAACAATTTAACAATTTTAATAAGGTTAAAGTGTACAAAAAACTATCAGAATGAATGTTAGATGAACAGAAGATAAAGGAGTAATCATGGCCTCATTGGACAACATGTATTACACATCTTATACCTCATTACTCATTTGAAAGAGAATTGGGATGCTTTTTTCTTTTTTTTTAAAAACCAACAATTTTGTAATTGTCCATCCTACATGTTTATTCTGTCTATTCTACTGCTGCCCCAAATGCAGGAGTTGTGTGTTTCAGAGGAGCCTGCAGCTAGAAAGGTTTAACTTACCTTTACTGATACAATTAATACACTTTTTAACAGAACTTTAACAGGTTTTATTTTTTTTTCTAAATCTTACTTGCAAGTCATGTTTTATAAGCAATATTCTACCACCTAGCTTTGGTAGTGGTTGACGTAATATTTTTAAAGAGTATTTGCTATTCACACAATTTGCATTAAATGTTTAAAATACAAAGACTGAAACAAAAGTTAATTTGTCCAAAAGGACAGTCAAAGAGGCTAAAAAGATATTTTAGAACAATCATTGAAAGCCTTTACTGTATCATAGTCACTTCAAGTGTTGTAAAGCAGTTTTCTACAATCTTCAGCTTTTCTTCAGAAAGCAGGTTTTCTTGCTTCAGTTGTCCAATAAGAGCTTCCAAGGACCTGAGTCTCTTCAAAGTTTTTATCTCCTGCATTTCAAGTAGAGTTATCTTAGAGTGGAGCTTTGAAATTTTTTGCCAAAGGTGATCTCTGTCTATGTCTTGTTTGCAGTATGAATGCTCAGTTTGTAGTACTTCACTTCCACCATATGCACTCATATACACAGATTTAGCTGTTTCTGTCTCCTCTGTGTCAAGAAACTCTTGCTTAATAGGCAGGAAAGAACTATTTACTATTTCAGGCTTTTCTGGACTCTCAGCTGGCACAATAATAGCGATGACAGATTCTTCACTTCCACTGAACTGCTCAATAGTTTGCGTGACTGTACTCAGTAAAACTGCATTTTCACTTGTTGGCTGTACTTCAACAGTGCAGCCTACAATATGAGAGTTAGGATTTTCAATTGCATAGTCAGTAATTGAACTTAAAGCATTTTTCAGTTTCAGCGGTGAATTCAAGTAGTCAGGGTCTGTAAATTGCAAGACTGTAGTTGTACAACCTACTGGATCCTCCACAGAAGCGTGAACACTGGTAGCTTCCATGCTCTGAACTGCTGTTGCCATTACAATAGGATTAGGTTGCTGTGTTTGTTGCTCAGAGGAATTATCAAGAATGACACTGTCTGCCTGAAAGTCTTCTGTGTTTATAAGTTGCAGTTTTTGAACTTGTAAAGGGTTACTCAATGCAGCAGAGCAAACTACTTCTACTTTTTCATCTACGTTTTCTGCAATTACAGGAATTTTCTTTGGTATATAAGGTTCAAGTGATACAGGTGCTTTCTCTGACACTACATTTGTATTTGTTTTTTCCAGGTCTTCTCTCTTTCTCTCTTGTGGGCTGTTCTGAGAAGAATCTTTTTCCTGAAGGAAAAAAAAAACAACAAACAACTACCTTGTAACTAGGAAATCACTTGAGCGTAAAAAAAATGGACAAATCTCATTCTATGGCATGGTACTGCATAAGGAGTAATTTAGATGACCACTGTTCAATAATTACACCAGAGACCTGAAAATTCACGTAAGCATCTTCCATAACTTTGCTTCAGGTCCTAAATGTTAAGATACTATTTTAAAGCTCTAAAGGCAGTAATACTTTTTTTTTTCCTCTGAACTCTAATGAACTTTACTGATTTAGACAAGTCATCATAATTTTAAAAGCACTTGAAGAGAAGTGGCTACGCAAATCTGACTGACAAAGACTGGCTAGCATCTCCTATAACAACCTGAAACATTGTGTTAAATATATGTATATTTAATATACACAAGTACAAGATTTTTGCATTAAAGATACCACAAAATTGGTTTATAAAGATATAGCAAATTTTTAGTCATGTGGTCTATCCCAAAAATAATTTAACAACAAAAAAAGTTATTAACACAGGCTTGCAGAACAGTGAAACTTATTCCTGCACAATCACATGCTTGTTTTTAAATGAGCAATTCAATTCTGACAATTAAACTTCACAATTCATAAAAATGGAGAATGTTTTTTTGGATGGATAGAATCTTAGCAGAAGGATACTATTTTAACAGGACTTTAAATAGAAGTTGTTACTGAAAGAGGGACAATTTGAAGCTTATCCTTTTTTAGCCACCTTCTTTTCCCCTCATCCACATAAACTACATCATCACAATAGATTTAAGATCAGTATCCAAACAAACTTTTTAGTATGTCAGTCAGTGAAACAAAAATACACAAATAACAAGGGTCTTATTTTTTTCTAGTAGGCCTGATGATGAAGAGACCAAGCTGCAGAACTTGTACTCATCTTAGATCTGTGGACTAAAAAACAAAACCAAAACTGCCCAGAACAAACAAAGAGAACAAGAAGCAGTTAAATATAGGCCAGGGAAAAAAAAAAAAAAAAAAAGAGGTCAGGCCGAAAAAACAGATTATGATAGAAAAGATATTTTCAAAGTGTATGTCCATAAAAGTATGTATGTAGTCTGAAGTATTCTAAATACATTAAACTTTTAAATTCAATTTTATATGAAACTTTAGTCTCAAAAGGACTGCAAAAAGTATGAAAAAATAGAATTAATTTGGTTACCTTTATCTTTTCAAAGGTGATACTTAACATCACATCAATCTTAGGGATTTTCAGAGAACGACGTATTCCCTTTCTCTGTTCTACCAGCAGCTGAAAAAGACCTTCTCAGACTAAATTTTTTAACTAGACAAATCTCTTATGAAATAAATCAGGGAAATGTCCCCCAAATCCTTGCCTATCAGAGCTACCATTAATGCTGAAGGAAAGGCACCAAAACACCTCTCAGGATAGAGCTGCTTGAAGAAAGACCTTTACTTTCATTGAAAAGCTTCCTTGCCCACTGGTCCCTGCCCTCACACTCTTCTGAGAGTGTCCTGGTTTCAGCTGGGGATGGAGTTAATTTTCTTCCTAATAACTGGCACAGTGCTGTGGATTTAGTACCGGAAGAATGTTGATAACTCACTGATGGTTTAGTTGTTGCTGAGCCGTGCTTACACCAGTCAGGGACTTTTCAGCTTCCCCTGCTCTGCCAGGGGCACAAGAAGCTGGGAGGGGGCACAGCCAGGACAGCTGACCCCAACCAGCCAAAGGGCTATTCCAGACCATATGACATCATGCTCAGTATATAGAAACTGGGAGAAGAAGCAGGAAGCGGAGGACATTCAGAGTGATGGTGTTTGTCTTCCCAAGTAACCCTTATACTTGATGGATCCCTGCTTTCCTGGAGAGGGCTGAACCCCTGCCCAGGAAGCGGAGGACATTCAGAGTGATGGTGTTTGTCTTCCCAAGTAACCCTTATACTTGATGGATCCCTGCTTTCCTGGAGAGGGCTGAACCCCTGCCTGCCCATGGGAAGCAGTGAATGAAGTCCTTGCTTTGCTTGCGTGCGCTGCTTTTGCTTTCCCTATTAAACTGTCTTTATCTCAGCCCATGAGTTTTCTCACTTTTACTCTTCCAATTCTCTCCCCCATCCACCAGGGGGAAGTGAGCAAGCGGCTGCGTGGGTCTTAGTTGCCAGGTGGGGTTAAACCAAGAGAGACAGTCGTCAAAATAAAAATCTTTGCAAACTAATGTAGAATGGTTACAGATATTGAAATGCAGGCAACTAACGCTGTCTTGAGGCACAAACATTCTTTATTTAGAAGAAGAAATAATATCAAATGTTTCCTGAGGAATTGCTAAGCATGTCTGGGAAGATATCCTTCACTCACTCCATCAAACATAAAGCAAGGTGGTGGTGAACAGTACGCAAATACTGCAACTCTTCGCTCTGAGTTTTCCAAACTAAGGGTTTATAGACAAGTGTTGAAAGGCAGCTTGGGACCTTAGCTTCTTGTTCCTTTACATTAACTCAGGAACACACTAACAAGGGATTCTACCCCAGAATAAGGAGAGCTCTTTGCCATGTATTTGTGAATATTCAGCCTATGTAGAAAATTCAGGTTTGGGGCAACTACAGAATCAGTGGCCAAGTAATGGATATTGTTGATTTGCTGAGGTGGTCACTGAAAGGATATGTCTTGATGTTTTAGAAAAGTGCAATCAGAAGCATGAGATTAAAAGAAATAATGCCAGAGAAAGAAGGGAGACCCTGGGAAAGCAAGTCCACAGTACCACAGATATGAAGAACTGGCATCTCTTTTCTTTTGAAAGCAGAGAAGTGATGGATACATTGAAAGGAAGCATAGAATATTCTTTTTCCAAACTGGATAAATCTATCTGGGACTTCCCAGATATATATTGCTGATGCAAAAATAATTTAGAGAAGCCATTGGTATGTTCTTGCAACACCACTGCATAAAAAGTTTGTTACCTTCCTAACTCTACTGTCCATCTTTGTAGGTATACTATGACAGGTCTATGGTCACACGCAAAACAAGAGAGAATGAGGAGGTGGGGAAAAACCGACTTTTCTTTAGGGGGAAATCACATAATTTATCTGTAATTGCACAGGAGCACAGGGCAGCGAAGTCCAGTTCCAAAGCTAGGGCTCCCTGTTATAATAATAGCACAGGAAAGCGATGGATATATTGAACTGGGGCCAGGAGGTTGGAAGGAAAGATATTTATTGCTAAGTTACTACTGTCATAAATTGCAGTATTTTCTGGTTTTGTATTTGTGAGATTTATCAAGATCGCTCTTCACTCTACAGAGTCAAAAGCAGTCTGGACAACACTATCCAAGACGACAGAGAACTTCATGACTAAAAAAATTTTTTTTTTTTTACTAAAAAATTTTGTAAAATTAATTAACCACACATTTCAGTTTCAGCAATTTAGCCTTAATTCCAGTCCTTCCATTTCTCCCACCTCCAACACGATGATCCTGAGGACGACAGTTACGTGCCAGAAGAGAATTAGCATAGCTTTGATCAAGATGAGGTGCCTGTGTAGCACAGCATTGTTACGTAACCAATAGTACAACTCTGAGAGACAAGATGGACTAGTTTTTGTGGGATATCTTTAGCAGCCTACACTCCTAGGTTCTTAGGTGTTAGACAGATTAGGGACAGGAAAGAGAAATGTGTAGTTTGAAACTAATACATTCCAAAGCCAATATTTATGTACAGTTAATAAAAGGACTTAAAAGAATACTTACTATGTTATAATAATATATATTATTAAAAAAATACTTATTAAGAGTAATTGCACAGGAAAAAATATTTAGAATCATAATATTCTCATAGGAAATTTATTTTCCCATGGAAAATTTCCTTTAGGAAATGCTTCTGTAATTTCCAGTTAAAAAAAGATACTGAATCTCCAGTCAAAGTACGGGAAGTTGTTCTTCCTTTACACTATGGAATCACATACACTCATTTTGTGTCAGTCCTGTTGACAAAATATTTTGATGACCAGGAAATCTATTTTTAAAATAAAATGTGAATATATTAAAGATACTTAGAACATCTGTATTACATAAATAGTTGGTTAGCTTTATACAATAAAAAAGATAGAAATACACTACCTCATCACCTGGGGAAGAGAAAATTGTTGGTACAGCAGTATGTTTCAAGTATCGTATACCCCATCGCACATCAAGGGAATCGGGGGTAAAATGATCACTGCATAGAAGCTGGTGTTTACTCGGAGTCCACGCATCTCGCTTCATATTCCGCAGCCATTTCTCAAGTCTCTCTTTATCATGAAGTGGAAATCTTTTTTAAAGCAGTTGGAAAAAAACAAACAAAAACACAAACAAAAAAACTTTTTTATTTCTTTCTTTCCTCTTTTCAAACAAAAAATATCTCATTATTCCTTACAAGGTAGTCTTTCCTTTCAAAAATGCTAAAATAATCCTTTTTTAACAATTTCAAATATGAAATGCAAATTAGGATGTCACTTACACATTAATCCAATGATCATCCAAATTATTTCTAGTTGGATATTTGCTCCAGAGTTCAGCAGCAGAATTTCTGCTGATTTCTGTTGCCTAAGGGTTTCAGAACCCATGGCCAAGATGTTTTAAAAGGCTTGATCCTGCAACACTAGCTCAGAAGGTAGTTTTGCCGAAGTCAGACAAAATACTCTGACTTCACTTAAAAGAAGTTGGGTCTGGTCCTCATTTCAGAAATAGCATTTGTGGAGCTTTTTTGTCTTGCTAGTCGCAATTAGTCACAAAAACTTTTGTAACTATTTTTTGTTTAACAGAGTACCTCTTAATATATGTCACACTTTGCATTATCTAATAACTTGGAAATGTGAATGTTTCCAGAGCAGGTTTTAAATTCTGTTCAAAAAGCAAACACACACAAATGCAAAGCATTTCTGTATTTGTGTTTCAGCAAATAAGCTTTCTTACAGCACTGAGAGCCCACACAGTATTATGCAATCTGTAACTAACTTTTTGACAATCTAAAATACTTAAAAAGGACAGAATGTACATGTTCATAGAAAAAAAATTGAATCAGTTTTGAAAATACATGCAAACGGTCAGATAAATTACATGGGAAAGAGAACTAAATGAAAAGAAAGTGGGTGAAGATGTGGAATTTACTTAGTGAATTGTGATACACAAATTGAAGGGAAATGAAAGGCTCATTATGATGCATGTACAGTCAAGCAGTTATGGTAATGTCAACATGAACCTTCAGACCACTCCTGGCTCTCATCTCTCAACAGACAGGTATCAGGGTATTTGAAACGTGCTTACAGATTTCTCTGGTGCATGTAAGTTTCAACTCTAGCTGGATATGAAACTGTAAAAGATGGATTCATGTGGTCATTAAACCTGACCTGATCATAACTGTAGGATGTAAAAAAGTATTAGCTGCTGGCAGTATGATAGACAACGGAAACGTCCAGACATGAACAAGTGCCTACAGACTCCTTACAAGAGCCATTTTGATTTACTCCCTAAACAGAAATGGAGCATTCTTAATTCCACTTCTCTTCCCTTAGCTGTCTGCTCCTTTTAATTAAAAATCAGTTCTTTTGGTACTATTTATTACCATCTGCGGATGGAACTTCAATGCACAAAAAATCTGGTTCTGTGGTGAGGTACTGCCACAGAACAGAAGCTGATGAGAGAGCCTGGAGTGCCCAGTGTCACCTGAATGCTATGAAAGGCAGCAGTCAGTTGGGCTACTTCTTGGCAAGCCCTAGATCCCACCCTCAAACCTCTGAAGCTGCAGGTTTCCCCCAAAAGCTACACATGGGCAATGACTCACTTAAGCAGGCCCACAGTGTTCCAAACCTGCAAACTTAGCTGATTTTGAGAGAAAGATACCCAAGATTCACAGGATAAACGCACATGTCTTCACCCCTTCCCCAATCTACTGAATTTGTTGCCATTTAAATTTTGAACTTCCCAAGGACACAGAGCAAGCATTTGATGCATCTGGGTGTCTGCAGGTATGCAAGGAATAATGCTAGCAAGAACACAATAACCTCTCGAGGACAGGTCAGAGGTTCAGCCTTTTCAAAACCTGCCTACTTAGATTGTGTACACCCAATAGTAGCATTACACCTATTACACACCATACCCCATGAGTAACAGAGCTTAGCCTGGGAAGTTATTACATAGCTCCAAAGAAGGCTCATGTCACCTATCACACCCTCTCCAAGAAGGGCTTGAGAACATTTGCTTCCGCTGCCGTTACCCTTGCAACACAGCACTCACTGCCTTCCCCACAGTCAGCCTGCTTCAGATGGCAAACAGAATAATCTG